AGCGAGAGAGCGATAGATACACAAACACACGTGCGTATATATATATATATATATATATATATATATAGAGGGAGAGAGAGAGAGAGAGAAGAAAGAGGGCACAGACAAGCAGAAAGAGAAGCGAGAGCGACCAAGAGACTGCAAGGATGATGTTAATGCATTGCGGTGTCTGTACACTGCATATACACCCCAAGTGAAGCTTCTGCTAACCCATCTCCTAAAGAATCGATCGAAGCAAACGCCTTCAACCTTTGGTTTTTGTTTTGCTGCCTTTAATAGCTGCAGCGTTGTGTAGTCTCCGCTCTGCAACAGCTGCATCTGTCCTGCGTCCCCAGGAGCAGCAGTAGCAGCAGCAGGTGCTGCTGCAGCAGACGCTGCTGCTGCTGCTGCAGAGCTCGTCCCATCTCCCCTCGGCGAGCTGCTGCTGCTGTTGCTGCTGTTGTGACGTGCTGCTCCTACGCTGTTCAGTGATGCGCTGCTGCTGCTGCTGCGGAAGCGGCCGCTGCTGCTGCTGTTCGGGAATGCTGCACTTGTAAAGTTCGGTGGCACATTGGCACCCTGCAGCAGCTGTTGCTGTTGCTGCTGCTGCTGCTGCTGCTGCTGCTGCGCCTCCAGCTGCAGCCTCCTGTGCAGAAGGGAAAGGACGAGCTGCTGCTGCTGCTGCACCCTCTCCAATTCCTTAGCATTAATAGCAACAGCTTGAAAAGGAGTCGTGCGCTCCTGCAGCCGCTGCTGCAGCATCATGAACTGCTGCTGCTGCTGCTGCTGCTGCTGCTGTTCAAGTTGGCGCTGCTGCTGCTGCTGCTGTCGGCTATTGTGTCGTTGTTGTTCCTGGTGGTTGCCTCGCTCCGTCAGCTGCTGCTGCTGGAGATGTTGCTGTTGCCGTTGCTGCTGCTGCGGCTGCTGTTGCTGCTGCTGCTGTTGCTGCTGCTGCTGCCTCTGTCTCGCCTGGGAGAGCAGCAGCCTCTCCCTTATGGAGGTGAGTGCATCCTTGACTGTCGCAAGCTGTTGCTGGTGTTGCATGTGTTGCTGTTGCTGCAGCTGCAGTTGTTGCTGCTGCAGTTGCTGTTGCAGCTGCTGTTGTAGCTGCTGTTGCAGCTGCTGTTGCAGCTGCTGCTGCAGCTGTTGCCCTGCAGGGGTGCTGTCAACGTAGTCTGCTGGCAGCAGCGAGCTGCGCTGCCCCATGAGAGACGCGATGGCTTCTTGAATAGGCATTTTGTCCTTCTCCATCTTCCCCTTCAACTTGCTGCTGCTGTTGCTGCAGCTGCTGCTGCTGCTGCAGCTGCAGCTGACGTCCCCGGCCGTTCCTCTGCCTGGACCTGCTGCTGCTGTTGCTGCTGCTGTTGGTATGAGGCAGCTCCCCTCCCTCGGTTAGTTGGATCTGCTGCTGCTTACTGCAGCAGCTGCTGCTTTCAGCTCGTTCCTCTCCCGTGATGTTCTGAACCTGCTGCTGCTGCAGCTGCAGCTGCTGCTGCTGCAGCTGCTGCTGTTAGCGACGGGTCTGAATTGTTCGTGTGTATGTGTGTGCGTGCTCGGGTGTATGCGCTTCTCTTCTGTGCTTCAAATGTTTGTTATTACGGCCCCTTAACGTATAAATCTAAGCCATGTGGGGCATGCAGCAACAGCACCAAACAGGCAAACAGGCAGTGAAGAGCAGCAGGACCCCAAAGCACACGGGAAGTGTTGAGGCATTCTGCTGCTACAGCTGCTGGGGCTGCAAATTCTCTTGCTGCTGCTACTGGGGCTACGGAATCTGCTGCTGCTGCGGCTGCTGCAGGCGATACAGAACAAGCCGCAGCAATAAAACGACAGAGAGACGCAAGCAGGAAGAAGAAGGTTGTTGTAGAATTTAACCTGCCCCGAGTAAAGGCACACAAGCCCAACTGACGAGCAGGAGGAGCAGCAGCAGCAGCAACAGCCGTACACGTACAGCAGAGAAGAGAATATGTTTGCAATCAGGAAGCAAGATAATAAAAAAGAAGACAACGGTTACACAGGTCCTTTCTTTGTAGGAAATAAACACAGATCCACAAAGAGGAGACGAGGGCGTCGATGTGAGTGCCCGTCTGCCCACCGCCTGTGTGCTGGGAGTGCTATTCCTGCGGAGTTTCAGGTGTACATGCAGCTTATTTCGAGTTGCACTTTGTCAAAAATGATCCAACACTGTCTGATTCCAAGCAAACACGGAAAAAGAAACGCAAACGGAAGAAGAGAGCGTCCTTGCGGTCGATAACGAGCGAGGAAGCCTCAGCTACACTGCCTCCGCAGTCCAGTGTGCAAGCCTCGAGGTGTACAAGCACATAATTCGCGAAAAACACAAAACAACCAAAGGTAAGATCCCATATTTATACAAAAGAAGTGTTCCACTCAAGCGTCGCCTACGTTTAACTCGCGAGATTCGGGTGTATGTACACCGCAGGTCCACACCCCACGGTGCCTCGGCCTCGCCCCCGTCCCCTGCCCCTGCCTTCATACTACGAAAACAAACCGAGAAAAATGAAAACAAATCCTTTATTTTTGTTTAACTCCCTTTTTTACTCCCGTTAAACCTTTAATTCTCTCAAGCACACCTCTCTTCAGTGTGCTTAAACCTGCATCATCGCCGCCACTATCGAGCACTCTCTGGGGGGTCGCCTCTGACAGCATAGGCCTTGTTCAACTCTTTATTATGCAGAAACATCTTCACATTTCCTATTGGTAAAATTATAATGCCTCAGTTGTTATTTTAATTCCCTTCTGTACCCCCCAACTCACCTGCATTGGCAGCTTCACCGCAACGCGTCTCCCTATGACGACCAATATAGGTAGGGATAGGAGCCTTGGGTTCTGAAGAGAAGATAACTGATGGGTTAAGACAGCAAAAAGAATTTTCGTTCAATAAGCAGTACTTTTGCTTAATTTGAGGAGGTGATAAGATGCTGCGGCGTCCAGGCAGAGCGCCTCTCCAAACGGGCGGCCTTTATCTCGGGACCGTCGTGTGCAACAATAGGCAGAAAGTTTCAAGTTAAAAGCCCCTAAAAGGCAATCGACCTCTTCCCTCTCCTTCAGACATTCTGAGGACAACAGTTGGAGGTCCAAGAGCTGGGGTAGAGGAGGCAGCCAGGAATGGCTTGTAACCATCCTCGTTGCAACTAGTGGAAGAGGGTACATTCATAAGCAAGAACAAGCCGGCCTTCTTTTGCTGTCTGTACAAACATTGCAGGCAATTGTTGTATTTATGCTGTATTTCTGCATGCGTGGAAGCTGCATGCTAAGGTCGGAAAGGGCATTCTACGCATCTTCTTGCTGTAGAGACCCCTGGGGATTTCGTTCATCCAAGAAGCTGATACTTCTCTATAGGTGCAAAAGCGTTCTATGCAGACGCAGATTCTCCGTATAGGAGTTTCTTCAAGTTAGTGCTAAAACGATGAATAGAAGTGCTTTTCTCTCGCTTTATTCTCTTATTTACTACCCATCCCGCGAGATCCTGGTGTTGAGATGCAAGTCTTGCTGTGTTCAGCATCACTGTTGTACCTTGATATTTTCGAAGCTAGAATGCGCATTTCTATTTGCATGGAAGCTGGCTCCTGAGAGCTACGTGGGTGCTTAACACTTGTACACGTTGTTAATGCATGCACCAATGGGAGCTTAGAATTTCCTGTATTTGGAGGAGCCTTGCAACAGGAGTTGAAGGAAGCTGCGCCGCGTCGGGTGGCAGGCAGACAGCAGCAGAGCTGCTGTCATCAGGACGGCTGGGTGCTGGACCTGTGCTCAGAAGCTGCTACTTTAGAATTTTTATCCTAAGTACTTTGACTCGACAGCTGCCCTAAAGATGGTCTTCACCTGAAATTCACGACAGTCGTTACATTTGTCCTACCGCATTGTTGAGAGGTGCAAGCGGGAGACGTAAAAATGCCACCCTCAAAATATGGGCAGCCTGGTACACAGCAGTGAGTACTCTTGAACGCTCTTTGCAGGACTTGTTTACCTGCATCTCCTCCACAACTCAGCTATCTGATTATTCAATTCTGTATTCTTGATCAGGAGCAACTATATATGAAGTTCCAATGGAAAGGCGCGACCTAAGCGTTCACTGACTAGAGCAGTGCCTGAGTACACTTCACAGCTGGCAGATAGGAGACACAATGACGTTTTTTCCATTAAGTAGGGGGAATTAGAAGGTATTTCGATGTTTCTCTGAACCGTTTTATAAGGCCGTCATTAATGGGGTAGTGAAACTTCCACGTCGCGTCGCGTTTGAATCTACAGAGAAAGGTAACGCATTGACCTCAAAATGGATATCACTGGGCGACGCACGGCGCATTTCTTTCGCTGCATGCTCTCCTACGCGCTTCTCAGAACGTGCGAAGCCACCAGAGGCATGTGGCATGCTTCTCGGGCTCAACGCAACTGTCGCTTGTCGCTTGACGTCGTTTCGTGCCTGTTGTTCCTGTGGTTTCTTCATACACCCTAGCCCTGGTGCAATCTGTGCATGAGGTTGAAAACAAAACATTGGTCGCTGGCCAAGGGAGTCGGGGGACACTGCGTCGAAGCGTGCACTTTTGTACTGTAGATCCACTCTTTGCATGGAAGGAAATTAAGCCGCTTTTATGAGTTTCGCCGAGGGTACATCCAGCGCACTGCACAACCGTGCGCTGAAGTGCCGCCAAGCTACGGTGCACTTGCCGAATTTTTAAGTACTAAGTAACATTTTTTTCAAATCACGCCCTCATCCAGTTGAACGCAGTGCGGACATATTAGACAAATAAGCTTGATTCACTGTGACCGTCGGCTTCCGGGTGGTCCGCGGTACTCGTGTTATGGCCAATGTCAACCTTCGTCTGGAGCTCAAGCAAGAAGGCGGCAACAAAAAACTCCAAGTCCCTTGCAAGCTGTTCTATCCGTTTCAAGTTGTCTTCGGTGCCACCCCTTCGCTGTCACTATTTTTGCGCAGTATGTGCTGCCTTCCTGTCGTTGTGAGCCCCCGGAGAGGAATGAACGCCGTGCTTGAGGGAGAGGACGGCGGGACGCAGTGTAGCAGAGGGCGTCAGAAGTCGGTGGATATATCTGTAACTGCTTGCGTAAGAACAAATTCTTTTAACCAATGGATTGCCAATTATTTGGCTTTTAGTGGCAAGGAGGCTTAGCTACTTGCACGTGGGATTGCCCTGCTGCACGAGCTGCAGCAAGAAGTGCAGCAACTCAGCGCAAGGCAGACCGCCTGATCCACCCACCAGCCCCAGAACCCTTTGCCGATGTGCTTCAAAGACGTGGAAGCAGGAGGGTATCCCAGCTGCATTTTGAAGAGCCTTCATCCAAACTATTTGACCTGACTACAGCTAGCAGCAGCCGCTCACGGAGAAGACTCTCGCTTCAGTTTCCTTCATATTCTGGCTGAGCTGGCAGTGGAATGCAGCCTAGCTGTAGTGCACTTGCATAGTACCAAGTATAATTTCTCACATCACATTCAGCTGAACGCAGCGCGGATATACTAAGAAAAGCTTTGCATACACTAAGCATGCATTACGGCCCATCACACCACAACCCTAAACCCTAAACCCTGGCAGTCTAGAACTCAGCTGCTTCAGACAGGACAGCCTAAACAAGAATTCCAGAAAAAGTGCAGAGGGTCTGACTAGACGCAAATAAACAGGCGGTCCTTATGATTAAGGCTTTTCCTTCTACCTACATTACCCCTACGTACTGTGCCCCCCTACTTTAATTAAGGTTGCCCTCCATTCTACTTATACTTCCAATAGCTTCAAAAAGGAAACACTGGAGCAGTTTCCGTTCCCACTGTATGAGCTGCTAAAAGGGAAGCAGCCACGACCACCAGGAGAAGAGAGAGAGACCCGTGTTTGCTTGTGCATGGAAATATATAGTGTATATACGGAGTATGCATCTGTGTACATATCTGGATGCATGCATGTGTAGACGCACTTGTTCAATATGCATGCACAAGCATGCATCTAAACATGCGTATTATATGCACGTGCATGTGCACAGCGGAGGTCCTCGCGTGCTTATGCACGTATGGTGTTTACAAAAATGTACGGCAACTTCCAAGATCAAAGTATAGGTATGGCATCACCAGACGCGAACACAGACACAAGAAGCAACACTCAGCTAGAAAACAGAAAGACGCTGCTGCTGGCACAGCTGCTGCGCTGGAATTGCTGCTGTTCACACGCCTTGACAGCAACGCCAGCACACATACAAGAATAAACGAAACAGCGAAAAGGCGGTCTGAAACAGAGAGCGCAGAAAACCTTGCTTCAGGGTCCAGAACAGCTCCCTCTCACTCCAACGACAACAGAGCGCTAAACCGCTACGGGCTAAGCTCACAAAGAAACGACGTACTGTTCATATGTATCTACATATATATATATATATAGTGCATCTGCACTTGCGCGGAGACGTGTACATAATGTAGACGGATGGAAATACTGGAGCCAACGAAAGAGGTTAATAGGTTGTTTAGATACAAGCGTGCTTAAGTATGAGTGTGTATGCTATGCGTTATTATATGCACGTTTTATGCAGAAACACGCGGCTGTAAACAGACATATGTACATACAACGTCTGTCTCCGCTTCGATGTAAGTAAGTCCTGTATAGATCTTCTTTCACTCGTATTGCTTGGTGTGCCTCTCCGTCTCAGTCTGTCTGTATATGAGCGAGTACATATGTATATCTATTCATGCAATATACACCGATCAATATATATATATATATATATATATATATA